TTTCCTGCAGTACAAATATTTCCCATGTAACAGCTTTTCCACTTCCACTTTGTTCTGGCAACGGTGCAACAACTGTGCAACACAGTTGACACAGCTAACTTTTTGGCAAAAAATAAACAATAACACAAAAATGTTGGATGAAGGATACACTTTTGAGCGGAATGAGGGATACTCTTGATTTTTATGCTTCCTCTCTTACCAATTCCTGCAGGTGGATTTCACTTCAAACTGATTGATCGTTTCGATTCTTGATCGCAAACACTCTCTTCCTCTTTCCTATTGCCTTTAGTTAGTAAGAAAACTAAATTAAGATAATTTTTGTTCACATTAAATTGAAATGAATTAAATTGAAATGTTTGAAACAGAGTATTATTTGGATAATTTTGTACAACAATTATTCTCCATTTCGCAAGCGTTTCTTCTCGCAGACACACATTTTCGCAATTCTTTTTCTATTGATGTCTCAGCACAAATGCCGAGGCGGCTCTCTCTTGCTCTCAGTGAATACAAACGCCGCTCGCATGAACCTCATGGACTAAAAGAACGGGACTCTACTTTTCAGCGCAGTTTTTGCCTTTTCCTTGATCTTAGCTTTGTTACTCTACAGTCCGACTACAACGACTTGAGAATATCCTATATTATACAAATCTTTGGCTTTTTCTTATATATTTTTGTTCATTGCCATAATATTAATAAATATATCTTTCTTTTTATTTCTAGGTAATAACATTGTAATTATATTGTTCATACAATCAAAAAGGTATATACTGATATATTGATATTTATTTATATATTTACATACTTACATTTGTACATTTTATATTTACTTTTTGGTAACTTCTGTAATTTAAAAATTCGCAGCCTCTTCTATACCGTTCCCACAAGCCCATAATTGCTGAGGGAATCTATTTTGTTAGTAGAGTTTATTTCAAAATTGTTATACCCTTCTCCCCGAAGGGTAATTCTGTTAAAAATGTTTCCTTGTGAACTGGATGCATTCCGTGCAGGGGTGAAGAAGAGTCGTCGCGCAGTGGCACAGGAAGCTAAGGAAGTGGGGGCAACACCTAACTACCGTTAAAACAAAAAGAAAACAATGTAAAGCCTGCAACAATAGCAACAAAGTTGTGGCATGCCACAAACAAAAGAGTTAGAGAGAGGGGATGGCGATTGAGGTTCGTTGTAGTGGCTGGAGCTAGAGAAGAGATTTGACTGTCAGCAACAGACACAGCCACTGACGCGAGCATCAGAGAAAATAAATACCAACGAAAAAGAGGCCAGGAGACAATAGATACAATAGCAGCTGCAACGTTCCTCTGGCATCACTGGAAAGGGTATCAAACGAAACAAAAAAGATGAAAAGTAGAAGCATACCGACGTGTTGCGTTTGAAAGTTTATTTTGGGATGCAAGAGAGAGAGACTCAAGGACAGCATAAAACAAAGATTGACCTTAACTCGCAGGAGCACGTGGTGTCGGAATTCAAGTCCCATGCTGCCATGAGAAGGATCCGGTTGCCAGAAATTGGTTGAAGTTTTACTCGTATTTACTTGCGTGTTTTGGAATTTTTGCAGAAGGAGCAGATTATCCTGTGTGCGCTGGTTGTCACTTGGTTGATGGTCAATGCATAGTTGGTACAGAGTTTCAGTAAATAAGATTCAAGGGGAAGCTTCATTGAATATGATAGATTATTTAGTTACAGTACTTAGAAATGCAGAATACAGCAAAAGGACAACCAGGGTGTACATATGTACATATGTGTACGTATGGAATTTGCGGAGCTGCTAGATTGAAGATTAAAGTAAAGGGTGTTAAGAAATATTTCAACAGATTTCTTTCGTTTTTCATTAAATTCTATTGACTCTATAGATAATCGTTCTCAGTAAAGGAAACATGGGTAATCTTTTAAAGAATTTTTAGCAGTAATATCAAAGAAAATATATAAAGTTAGGCATTATTATTTTCCTTCAATAAATTTCAAATTACAACCTTGAAAAATTTACAAGCAATGCGAAATAGAAAAAAGATAAGAATCTTGTTAAACTTTTAGAAAACTTGTGGGAAACTTCTATTAAAATAGAAATATTGAAGAATCAAAATCACAGACTTTTATTATTCAATATTTGTTCATACTTCGTAACTTTTTTGTTGCTTTTAAAGTTTAAAGTGGAAACTTTACAGGAACTTTAGTAACAATCTCTTTCCACCCGTTTAAATCTGTTGGTGACTAAGCCAAAAGCCAGCTGTTTTCCGCCACAAAAAACAGCAGAACCGAGCACAAGAGCACTTTCCTTCCACTTTGATTAGATTAGGGAACGAAGACCATTTGGAATTCAGGGCACTTAGACACAAGCCCCACCATACACCACAAACAACCACATTGGCCACCAAAAGTAAATGGAACTAAAGGGAAAGGAACGACCATAAAGCTGAGCCCATACTCAGGGGCCAGGGCCAGGGCCATTGTCATCGTCAACCATTTACCTGGTCGAAATATTACACAATTTAGCCCAGACTTTAGGGCCCGGCCCGCTTATCGACAATCAAATAATTATAAAAGGTAAAACAGGCAGAAACACCCGCCACAAAATGCCAATACAAATTATAGAAATTGCTCTTTTTGGGAGAGAGAAAATGAGATAGGGAAGCGAGAATTTCGGTTGGGGAAGGAAGAAAGAACAGCTACGAGTTTGTTTAACAAAGTGGTTTTCAACACCCCATAAAAAACATTCGCAAAAATGAAGCAAAACACACACAGAGAATCAAGAAATGGCAAAGTAAAAGGGCAAGAGGAAAAAGAGTAACAAAAGAGCAACAGCCAACAGCAAAAACCATGCCGATATCAGGCAGCGCTGTGCCGGCGAATTTCCCGTTGGTTCTGTACGTAAAAGTAACAAGTACGATCACCAGAGACATAACGACTAAGGGATACCCATTCATCAGGCAGTAAGCATTTAAACAACGAACTGCTTATGTTGTAGAAGAGGGATATTTTTGCAGGCTCATATAAACTTTATATAATGAATCAACATTGAGTCTCTAATTACAAAGATGTTGTGCTAACTAAACTAAAGTCTGCTTTGATACCATTAAAGAAACATATCCTCACATTTGTCACATACACCACATCCCAGCTGGGATTCAGAAAGTACCAGGGTATCAAAAAGCAAATAAATAACCGTAAAGTGAGTGAGTGAAAGAGAGAACGAGTGAGTGCGGGGAAGAGAGAAATGTAAACAATGCAAGCAAGACGAGCGATGCACAGTAGCAGAGCAGTGCAGAGCAGAGCAGAGCAAAGCAGCCGAAGGCAGCATCAAGAACAAGCAGAACAAGGAAAAAGGCACAACACAAATTCCAACTGAAGTTCAAGTTGAATTTTGTTCTGACGTGAATTCCGTCATTCGACCTCACTCGCGTGTACTTTTTTCTCTCGCTATGCGAAATATTTCACCAAATAAGTGCCAGGCAAAGTGCTAAACTTTGTGAGGGTGGCATGGCAGACAAGGGGCCGGGAGGAGGGGAGTTATGCAACTACGGTATGTCCTATAATGAGCGAGGCGAGGTAAAAGGAGAAGATGACACGCAGGTTATAATGAAGCTGTGGGGACGGTGAGGAGCTTTTTGGTTTTTGGTTCCTGAAAAAGGGCTGTCGGAGGCTCCGTGGCTCCCATATACTATGAAAATATGATTTAACATTTAACATTTGATGAAACTGTCTTATTTAGATATAATTTTACTTAAATGTACAATCTATAATATAGGTTCTATATTTTAAATGTTATTACCCAAAGTCATTGAATGGCTGAAGCAATGCCTAAATATCTACTTAACTTTTATGATCCGAAGCTGATCGATAAAAACCCCCAAGTTTCCCAGCAAATATAGGGTGCTCTGTATAAACAATGATGAAACCAATGGCAAATGGGCGGCAAACAAATATATGTATGGGCGGTACGAGCAGGGCAAGTGAAATGGAGCAAATCTTTGTGCAAAATCTGCGGAATGAGGGGCGGGCAATTGATAAACCGGACCAAGATAGAGAAGCGATAAAAGTGCCAGGGGAAAGGGGGAAGGAAGAACCCACTAAACCGACAGTTCCCTTCGTCTCCCCTGTGCGATACATAGCCTTCAATGGCGCAACGTTTCGGAAACAATTTGATGGCCATAAAAGTCGATGTGGCGGCGGCTGTCATAAAGAAGGCGACGGCATCAGCTCCAGGCGGGGCTCTACTTCCATGGGAGAAGGCAAAAGTTAGGTGAAAACTGCGCCAGCAGCAGTCAAGATGCGGAAGCAAGATCCGGGAAGCACCCAGTACCAGTACCCGTAAGAACTTTGGTGGGGGGATTAGGCGGCGGGCGAAAACAAACAAATAAACATCGAGCAGCTGTTTGTGGCGCCGACACAGAGAGACAGTGAGAGCGCTCGAGAGAACACCGCTAAAGAGAGCAAGTAAATGTGAGAGAGCATAACAACAGTCTAAATCTCTCTGCCGGTTGGGCCAATGCAGGGTAGATTTATGTGGGGTGAGCACTTGCCAAAAAGGTGGATTGGGACATCTGTCGATATTAATGTACTATTAATCATTTTTCGTACATTTAAACACCTTTTTCAATCTAGATGCATTATATGGGTATGCCCAATATTCCGGGCATCCACTGTCACATCATTCGGCTTTCAGTTCGTGACTTGCTCTCTCTACCTTCCTGGCACTCACTCGCTCTCTCACTCTTTGTCTCTGGTTGTGCTCTCACCCACCTCCCACTTATCAAACGACACTCACTCATTCATGGCCAGACTGCTCCTGCTTTACCCTGCTCCCCTTTCCCAGCCACCATGTCTGCTGCGCCTATTGGCAGGGCGTCGAAAGGGGAGTGGAGTACTTCGTGCCCTGCCACGAAGGGGAGAACGACTACGATGCGGCATTTTGGGCACGCTTTGGCGCTTGGCCATATTTCAAACGGTTTCTCGCTTTCGTTAGCGTCCGCCGTCTTTCAGTCGCAGTTCTGTGGCTGCAGCGGCAACACTCGCCACCACCCAGCAGCAGTTACCTTCGCACGCGGATACTTAATACGGGCTCCAGCAGTTTATTACGTATACGCTACCGTGTGCCGTGTGTTGCCCGCTCGTTAAACGTTGTTTGTGTTACCCGGAACGGCATTGCAAATGCGAAATCAGAATGTAAATGAAAATGAAAATTATTTCAGAACAAAATGAGATAAGAACACAGCCGTACGGAATACTAGAGTAAGAACTAATCGAAATCAATGTGTCGATAAGGCGGCAAAAAACAGTTTGATCGAAAAGTGTGTGGCCCTCAAAAGCGTTGACAAAAAGTGTGCACCAAAGTAAACGGAAATTGTAATTTCGTTCGCTCTTTGCCTCTCTACACCCTCTCCCTTTTGCTATATTTGCCTCTTCACGTGACGTGTCGCACCGCATCGCATCGTATGGCGGCGTAAGATAAGCAACGGTATAAAAAAGGCGATAGATAGATTGTATGCATGATTGCTGCTAGTCAATCCCGTATGACATTCGCTTAAGGGTACTAACGCACCCGATGTGGGACAAATAATGTGCGTCTATAAGGATATGAATATGCAAATAATTCTCATACTTCCATTTATAAAGCCTCTTGAAAAATACAAGCTAACTTTTATAAAAAGTCTACAGCTGTAAAAGTTTTGTGTATTTTTCCTGCTTCTTGGAACTATCTGCGGACATTTCCGTCTTGCTTGACAGTTTTCACGAGTGGATTGGATTTCCTGGAAAAATGTTCCCCCTTCAGGTCCTTAGAAAGTGAAGTGGTAGAAGGTGGGATTCTGCTCAGAAATCATCCACTTGTTAAACCATTACTTCTAGGTATAAGCTCTTTTCCGGAGACTATCTCAGACTGGTTAAAAAAGCTGAAAGCAGTTTTAAATTAAAAAGTGTTGGTAAATGTGTTGAAACGTGTATTCATTTGGTTTGTTGTTGACAACAGTTGACAACAAATTCATCCGTTCAGTAAATGTCATACTGGTTTTAGGTACTTCCATGTGGGCGGGAGGGTGTAAACGGGAAATTATTCGTCGTTTTTGATGGCATGCGATTCCGATGCGAAGCGATTCGATTCCTACGTAAGAGTATGTAAGTGAGCGACGGGGCAGGAGGCAAGCACACAAACAAACAAACAAAAGAACAGAACAATAGATGTCCTCCTCCTCCCCCCACTCACATTCCATTCAATTCTGATATTTTCCCTTTACGTTTTGTTCTCTTTTTCGTTTCCCTTTTTTGTTCGATTGCTGCAGAAAGTGCAATACAAATATTAGCACTGCAATACAACAATAAAATAATAAACTTTGAGCGTATTAATTGCAATCTTGTGATAGAGATTACTTAAGCGAAACACGAAGGAACACGAAAACCAATTAAATAAACACAACAAAAAGGTAAATGAAACTTTATATTCACAAAAAATTAAGAAGCATAAACAATAAATATTTTAAATAAATAGGAAGCAATCGGCGAATTAGCATACAAATATTCATAAACGAGAAATAAACAAATCAATAAAACTTACAGCTAAATACTAAATATACATTCGAAAATGATTGAAAGTTATAATAGCAAATAAACATAATTATGCACTAATATAAGGCACTGCTCTATCAGAAATTTATTTACTTTTTCAAACTTACAAAAAAATACTTGCAATAAATTTGAAGAAAACAAAATTTCCATCGAATTTTAAACCCCAATTAATAATCTAACATCTCCCTAAAAATTCAAATTTCAAATTTGACGCATGTCGCCAGTTGTCCTGGGTTGAATTTCCACAGAATTTTAATTCCCACCTTCATGTCTGGTTTCTCCACTACAACTGACATTTTTGTCATTTGAAAGGCAATTATTTTGTCTATGAATCGGATAGGATGATAGAATGATTTCGATGACAGATTTGAGAATTTTCGCAAAAATACGAAATTACATGAATTTGAATTATTATTATTGCCATTAAGTAAAGGCACTTTAATGGTTTTTCAAATATTTGACCCTTTAAGAATACATGGCATTAAATTCATTTTACTTCTATACGTACTGCCACTCCTCGATCCTTGTTCCCCATGGACCAATCCAAACACAGACACCTCCTATTTTCAGAGCAATAAATTATTTTGCCTCTGGTACGAGGCATTAAAATCTCTACGGTTAACAAATTCCCTTCGAAACTTTTAATTAAAATATTTATTTATAGTCCTAGTCCTGGCATTGAAATCCTTCTCAGCATTAACCACAGGGAAAAGCAGAAACTTTAACAACTTTAATTTACGTTCGGGTAAAAGTTTTCTTCCATGTGGAATGCCAATCCATTCACAAACATATCCGAGTGCCAATAACAACTTGTGTCCTTTAGCCACCAAATTGGCCTCAATGAAAGTTCCAGTTTGGCAGCAAAGAAAAAATATCACGAAGAAGAACTTTTTGTGTGGGCGAAGAAGAAGGAGTGAGTGGCTCATGTTTTGGGATTACTGAGGCTTTTAATACCCTCAAACGATCTGAAGGAGGAACCAAATTGTGGCTGCCAGAAGTTTGATGTGCTCTGTGAGTGGGTGCCGAGGCACTCGAGGGTCTCTCGATGGGTTTTGTTGAAGTTTCTACCATTAAACTTTAAAGACGTTAGCGAATGATTAACTTATTTAGTAAATTTATCATTTCTGGGTTTAATTTCTGGGTTTAATTTCTGGGTATACATTAACCTACATTTACCTCTGGCCCTACAGAAAGGTTGTACTCACGCGAGAGTAAACTTTGAAATAAATAACTGATTGCTCTATTGAATTTCCTAGTCCATACATCCTGAACGATGTGACACATCTAATGAAAAAATAGATAATACCCAAAAAGCAAAAAAGGAGCCACAAAAAAACAATATCAAGCAGCTGAAAATAACTTTTTCAATTGGCTTTTGGTCTTACAAGATTTACTATAAATTTATGTGTGTTGATATGCATTTGTGTGTGTAGTAGTTATTGGTGTTCTTATTTCCTTGGTTTCTCTTAGTTTTATATTTACGCCCTGCAATTTGTGATGACAGGTTGCCATAAATTATGACATGCCTCTTATTGATTATACCTCTAGAATCTTTCACATTCTCTTTCTTCGTTAAAGAATTTTCTTATCAATGAAATGGAAACTGAATTGAATTCTCTTTTGTTCCGTACTCTGCGCTTTAACTCGGCTTTTCCGCTGTTATGGCCATAATTTGTCCATTCAACCCGCTCTCGGCCAAATTGTATTTTCATTTCGTACTCTGCCTCTGCCCAAACGGAAACGGTGGCCTTACTCCGCTCTCTTTATTTCACTTTATGCCAGCAGCATCCAGCCGTTTCCGTTTTTCGCTCTGTTGTGACATTTTTTGGCCACTGGGGGAGGCGCAGTGGAAAACCATTGACGGGGTTTCTGGCTGCAATCGTTTTGCAATTTAGTAGCCGCACCGCAAAATGGCCAACTGTTTTTCGTAGACGGCTAATCGGTTGCCAATTTGTTGCTTTTTTGGTCACTGCGATTCCCCGCGCCCACAGCCTGTACGGCAGGTTGTACGTTTGGCATTAAGTCCTTTAAGACTTTACTTTTGGGATTTACATAGATTTTGCTTCTGCCCTCTGCGCCCTGCAATGTCTTTACTTCCTGCTCTGTCGAATTATGCTAATTGTGGAGGCTGCTGCAGAGGCCACTCCCCTCCGTTGTAGGATTTATTCAAGAAGGGAGATTTCACTTTAGCATTTCTTTCTCTTTCTGTTTTTCCAGTTTTTACATTTCATAAGCAAATTTCTGTTCTTTAGAGTAATTTTCTGTTGGTTTTCGCTAATTAGAAGCGTGCCAGGCGTGGCTTTTGCCAAAATTTATGCAGATAATCCCAGCTTCAAAACATAAACAAAAATAGAAAGAGAATAAGAGTGGAAATAGGAAGCAGAGCGAGCTGTGTTAGGTAAGGCAAATGAATGAGGAAACGTATGAGAGAATTAAATGAGAGAAATGAGTGTCTGAGGCTTACTTGATGGAATGTGTCTTGTTTGAGGAATTACTTACTATATCATGTAACTACCTTCCTTAATTTTCCTTCTCCAGTGACTCACAGAAGTACTATTAAATGACACAAAGTAGTGACAGACAGAGGCATAAGCTTATACTCCTGTTGCTTGTTAGCAAGCATTTGTGCTATTTGATATGCTATTTAAGTGGCAGAGAGTGAGTGAACGGATTGGCTATGAAGCAGAAAGCATGGGCATATCATTCAAGAAGCTTCTTGTTTTGTTAGATTTATTTACGGAATGGAAATAGCATATTAAACAGTGTGTACCAATCATCAGAAGCACAAATACTGCTCGCTCTTTCTAACACACATTTTCTTCAAACTCTTGTCTTTTCTACTCATGAGATGCAAATAGATAGAGAAAACAGAAGCTGAGCTGAGCTTTAGATTTGTATTGGATCGTTTGTAGCCTTCAGAAGCTTATCCACTTTAGAGACTAAGCGGTGACTGAGCAGCACAGAGAAAAAGACAAAACAGATAGAAAATGCCAAGTGAAAAAAGCTAAAACCTGCGTTTGCATATTCATCCTTTGCTGAGCTTTGGATTTGTAATGGGGATCCCAATGAAAACATTCGACCTCTCCATTGCCCTTTGTTTGTGTGTCTGTGTGTGGCAGACAACCAAAAAAATGCCATCCGTAAGCATTTTTTTCTACATTTTGCAGCATTTTGATGAGCAAATTTTCTTTATGCTCGGGCTATCCACAGACTGAAATGAAAAATAAAACTCAAGGCTGAGACTTGTTGAAGAATATTAATGCTCCTGCAATAAACCGTAAACCCCCCGCTCGTAAATCGAGCAATTTCCATAATATTCGCCTGATTAGGGGTGTCCCAGGGCTTTGTTGCCGCAACAAAATATCGATTTGGGCCAAAGAATATTGGCTTCTTGACGGTACCCGATAGCCCTCTAGTAAGTGTTAATGCAGCTGCCTGTCTGGCTGCTTGGCTGTCTGCTGTCTGGCTGTCTTGCGGGTTATTAAAGTTAATCCAGCGCTTTGTTATTATTATTTGGGGGCTTCTTCAAGTTTCATGGTTGGGATTTGTGGGCGATGCATAAAATTGACAGCTCATTCACTGCGTTATCCGAAATATCTCCGAGGGATGATCAATAAAGTCAGTCAATTGACAGGTCTCCCTGGTCCAGCCTTCCACGCCCTCGCTAGCTGATTTTCCTTTCACGTATTCAGCAACTCAGAGATTATGAAAATATGTACGTACGTTCCTACATTTTTTACGATTCAACACAAAAATTGATTCAAAAAACTCATTCGTGTGTAAAAATGTCAAGAAAAGTTGAGGAGAGAGACATTGCTTTAATGGATGTCGTTGCCGTTGTCGCTGCCGCTGCCGTGCCATTCCCATTCCCCCTCCATTGCCATTTCCTCTACCCCGATGGCTTTGGGAAAATTCATCGCATGGAAAATCCATTTATCAAAAACGACGGACCATAAGAACAACCGCAAACGCATCGCACAATTTGACACAACAACAAAAACAAGAAGCAAATGATTTAAATTAATCCACTTAAGGCCACTTAAACCCCGTAGATGGAGCCCAAAAATGTGTGCTATATATTCCATTTCCAAGCAGGCACAGAGAATACAGCGAAACATCCAATATACCTACTTCTATTCGTCGTGTACAGTGTACAATGTACTATGTTCTGTGGGGATAAGTGTAAAATGTCAAACGTTGCAAGTTGAGTGGACTTTTGGACAATGGAACAAAATGCCAATTGAGTGGGCGAGTGAATGGTAAAACAAAGGGAGAAATGATACGGCTTGTGGTTGGCAGTGGGTGCAGTTTCAATGGGAGTATCCGCACCTAAGTGGATCATGATCTAGGGAACTATGTAATACTGAATCTTTGAGAGTTAAATGGTTCAGATAACTATTTTTTTAACACGAATCAAAACGTAAATTCAGTACATTTTCTTTTCTCCAGGAACTATTTTATCAATGCATAAATATCCAGCGTTGCCAAAAAGTTATTTATGCAGCCAATCAGTTCCACCAAGAGTAATTATGTTCCACAGATAGATGGATAATTTTAACAAATGGCTACGCGTAAATCCCATTCCGTAAGGTTCAGCCAAACCGGAATGCTCCGCAATGACACAAAAATATGTTAGTGGGGGAGCTGCAGAGACAGCAAAACCCCCTGTGACATATTGAAAAGCTACAAGGAAGGGAATGAAATATTTTTGCAATTTCAATATAAAGCCTGGAGGCATGGGCTAAAGGCAGCTAAGGACAATCGTGGGCGACGGCACGCCTTCAAATGTGGGTCAAACCGCACACACACACACACACACCAGACAGACACATACACGCAATTGTGTTTTGTGGGCGCC